CCCCAAAACCCCAAAACCCCATTAGAACAAATAAAATTCAAAATTTTTAGAATAAAGATAATATTTCTAAAAAAGAGGTAGTTTTAATTAAATACCTGTCATGTTAATTATATTCTATGACTTTAGTGTCATAACTTCTAAAACTACATTTTAATTAGACATTGGTTGATTAAAGATATTTAATAAGCAAGGACCAAAGATTACTTACTTAATTCTAAGTTAACCATCCTTAATTCTAAATACATCAATTTTATTTACTCATTAATATAAATTTCTCCAGAACGGTATTAAAGTCACCTTTCCAGCTGTATTTTTAAACTTTAAATTTCATGAACAAATTATTTGACCACTATATAGCATAAAGAACCGGAAAATACTATTTAAATAAAATGATTTTAAAAAGACCTACATATTTACATTATGAATTTTAGAGATGCAATTTGAAACCTACCACTTTATAAAGTAATTTATTTGTCTAAACTTCAAGTTAAATGTAGAACGAAAAGATATAATTTTTCTGGTTAAGTTACTATCAATTGAATTGCAGCTTTTGAATCTAGGGTTCCAAAAATATTTTCAAACTATTGCAAGGAAGAGCAGGCTGTAAATAGCTAAATAGCAATAATCTCACCTTTTTTAATAAGATTACAAATCAATAGTACTTAAACTTTAAGTACTTGAAGAAAGCAACTAGAATGTAAGAATTTTTTGCATGAGTGAAAGTTTGAGTTCTGTTGATATTTATCAATCTAGGGGACTGAGTTCCTGCAAGACAGTCTCAAAATTGGAATCGGTTACTAAGGCTTCAAAAGGAGCTCTCTCCCACGAAACTCCTCCTAGCAGCTATATTAATTCAAGCCAAGTCAGACATGCCATACATGGTGAAACAGGATAAAGCTACTAATTGTAATTAGGTCTAAAAATTGTAGTATTCAATAAGTTTTAAGTATACTGCTAAAATTAGATCCAAAAATCTGAAAATGCTTTTTATTAGAGCCAGTTTCTCCAATAGATAATTTACTGAGCAAGTTCATCAGTTTCATTATAAGATAGAACCTGATTGTGGAATATTTAGTTAATAAGTGATTTCTTCTCATAGAATTAGTAATATTATGATCACTCATTTAACTTAAGTAATTAGATCAAGTCCTATTTGCCAAGAGACCTAAAATAAAATATTATGTTCAATTTTTATAAACAAATGAAATATTATTTCTTAAAAACATTTAGCCTCATTTATTCATAATTCTATAAAATCTATTTGTCTCTCAATTATTAAGATTCTGGGGTTTTGGGGTTTTGGGGTTTTGGGG